GACGTTAAATTCACAAGCTGGCAAACAAATCCCCAGGTCCCGGTCCGTGCCTATGCTGCTGCTTTGATTGAAGCCCCCTAGAAAGGGATGTACTGAAAGGTAAAAGAAGTACCTTCGGGCACATAAAAGGTGAACTGCAGCTTCCGTGTGGAAAAAATGTCCTTGATGTCGCAGGCAGACTTTTTCAGGGGTGCCTTTTTTTCAAGGATCGAATTGGTTTGTCGGACAGTTGCGCCCTCTGTCCCAAGGACAAGTAAAAGAGTCAAACAATGGAGTGGGCCCCTGGACAAACTTTTGAGTATGCCACGTGATTCCCTGTATTCTTTCGGAAGTCCTATCACGCTGTAGTGCACTAAAGGCTGCACACTTCAGGATACTACAAATGCAACTAATCTTTCGAAGCTGAGTTAGACAGGATAGCTTTTCGCGAGTTTGCTAGAGTCAGGATATTGAAAGCGTTTTGAAAACTCGTCAGCTAGTGCTTTCTACACAATTTGTCACCACAACTTATCAGGTTCGTGGGCCTTCGTAGGCAAGTGGAGCAATCAAGCCCTGCTGGCACGAAAAACGTAAAATTTCACTCATCCACTGTAAGTGAGTATCGCTTACACACTTGCAGCGGATGGTTGTAGATCGAGTAGTTCTGCTGCCGAAACTAGAGTGCCTTTGCTTTTGCTCAAGTATCATTCCTATTCTCTAACGGCGAGCATGTGTGTACAATTTGTAAAGCCTCGTAGCACGAGTAACTTTTAGAATAGCTTACAGTTGAGTGCTTCCGGCTTAATATCGTGTGTGTAGTGGACTTGATGACTCTTCGCAGCCCAAGGGTGCACCATTTCAGGCGAATTCGATGAAAAGATGGGGCTGTGCTGACGAAGTACTGCCTTGTGAGCATGAGACAGTACTAAAGCATGCACGGTCACCGCTCTTTCCAGTCGAGAGGTGCACCATTTCATGCGAGGTACAAGAGACGGCTGGTTGCTTCGATGAAATGCTGTCTCATGATCATGAGAGAGTCATCTTGTGCATCGGCAAAACTGCACACTTACCTCCCATTTTCAAACACTCCGGGTTACGTACAATGCCAGAATTCTCCTCAAATGAGGATTTGTCGGCCTCTGAACGAAACGTGAAAACGACAGGAGTGTTTCTTTTAAGGATTGTTCATTAAAGCAAGTGCTGATGCTGAATCGAGAGATTCTTCGGATATCTTTGACGTAGACGAGCATTTCGATTCCTGGTAAACTGCCTCACAACTGGACAGTCTTGTGAGTGACTAGTTGTCAGCTTTTCATCGATCTTCTTGCAGACGACCTAGGTGGAGTTGACCTTTAGAGTTATATGAGAGAAGCAACCTCAACCGCCAACATTTTTGAGAGTAGTTTGCAATGAGGATATGGAGATATCACAAACATGTTTTACGGCATTCAGTACTTAACGCACTACTGTTTTGCGCCCTGTCTGCCAGCACAGACCGTCTCCACGCTTTTCAACCATGAAATTTGAGGCCAGCCACACGTTAGAGAAAACGTACGACCAATCCTTCAATCAAGAGACAACAACGGCTGTGACGCGTAAATCGAAATGGTGCCTTACAGCAGAGAGAGCGCCACCAGAAGTTTGTCGGCCTACTAACATTTTAGATTCATCAAGATATTATGGAAGAGGTGATCTGCTACGCATTCTTGTTTGTTTATGTTTCTGTCCAGTTCTTCTCAATTTCACTCCACTGGCTCTTGAGATCTTCACTCCCGCTAAATAGCGCCAACGTGGATGCATCCTGGCGAGCCGCCCACGGCAGATGCCTTTGGCAACGGGACGTATCATTGTACATATTTCAGTGTCTTTCATGCGTTCCCTTGCTAGCACCACTTGGGTGACGAAGCATTGGTTCCGCCCATTAGGTCGGTTAACAATTCTGGTCTTTTCTCGTTGCCACTTTCTTTTCATTCAGAGCATTGTTGGGACCCCACATAGCCATTAGCTGCACGCTGATTCCTGACCCTTGTAAACGATAAAAATATTTTGAGCTTCACTGGCGCAGGTAACTGCCGATGAGGTGGTCGACAGTATAGACTTCATTTTGCTACTGAAGTGGTGCTAACAACGGAGAGCGTGTGAATTACGTGTATTGACGGGGCCCATTGGCAAAGGCCTCTGACGTGGCCATATCGGTTGAAAGCAACCACTTCTGCAGTTCATGGCCAGAAACAGTAGCACAAGAAACTACTAGCTGAACATAAAAGGCCGTGCACCTCCCCCTATCATTCCGCTGGATAGCTGGGGGTGTGGCGGAGTCAGTACGGCACTCTAGGCTCTCCTTTTGCGGCGGCAGTAAGTACTGACACTAAATGGAAGATGCAGTAAATGTCAACTGGGCCCTACCACACAACGAAACTTTAGCGAAAACATTAACGGGCAACTGCTTTCAACCACGTGGCACTGCTCAAGCGGAAGCTCAACGCTCTCGTGCCACCACTTAAAGCGCAACGGCAACACTCTTGTGATGCAGGAATACAGGCCCCATATGCAGCTCCTAAAAATATATGCTTTCGCGCCCATAAGCAATGCAGCTGCCTGTCGGTCGCTCGCAGCAAGGAGCAGTTCATCAACTCTTCGTGCCGTGCCAGAGAGCTCTCTAAGTTGAGTGACCGAACCCCTGGAGCTATTAAAGCATTAGGAACAGCAATAGCAAGTCTGACATGTAAATTCGTGTGCACCCAGGCACGGCGCGAAACGTTGACGTACTGCCGCGTGGTGCGAGCGACTGATCAGCAGCTGCACTCCTAATGGGTACGGAAGCCAAAGCGTTTCATGCTGTGTTTGGCACCTTGTTTGGTGACTATGTCGATGCTTATGCAGACTGCCAAGCTATCAGGTCCTCCTGTGATCACATCCCATCCTTCGGTTCAGGGTTTAGCCCGTTTTGCTGCACGGTGCTTATGTGAAGTGTGCGCTCTACTGAACTTCCGAAGCTCTTAACACAGTGTAGTAACATTTTCTTCGAAGACTGCTTACCCACTTGGGTCTTAACGTTGAGTCATTTGACAGTGTCTGTTCCTTCCTCGCCTTCCACGTCGTCGTGCCGGATACGTTAGCGATATCCGACTTCACACTGGCAGCGCCCACTGTATAACTAAGGGGCTTTTTCAGGAGATTTCGTGCAATGACATTCAACGTGGCGACAAGGCAAGCTTGAAGTTAGTAGTGCTTACTGCGGCACTTCCCCAGTTGAGCCTAAACCAGCGTATCAAATATGAATATATCGAATCTTTGCTTTAGCAGTACACACAGGAAAACAGTCTAGAATCAATGGCTTCGTCAAAGTTGTTAGTGCAGCTAAAGGACATCTGCAGAATTTTCTCGTGCAGTTACAAACGTTTACCACGATTACTTCCTGTCGCACTGTTTCGTGGTGGTAGAATTATGGTATATGCTACATAAGAACGGAGGGTCAGGAGGCTTCCAGAGCATTCACTGCCTTTCCGCAGGTGGCTTTTGAGCGCTGATATTGAGGATGAAATATGCTGCAGTGCATTCATGTAAACGTAGAAAACTAGACCATGTAAAGAGCTCGCTGTGCCTAACAAAATGTGCGAGAAGCAAGCAAGACGCAGGGAGTACTGACTTTTTGCGGAGAAACTTTAACCTTCAAATGAAGCGATGCAGAGCTTCACCAGACACTACAGTTTACATTGAATAATGAGCGAAACGGCTAGAGCGAAAGTGAAGCGCACAACTGTTTTACGCCAACAAGAATTTTGCTTGGCCACAAACAATCACATCATGAACTGCGCATACGTACTGATAAGAAAAAGTACGTACCAATTACCAGAGTTAGTGCGAAAGAATTGACGTAAAAGGCAAGCGCTAAGGGCATAAGCTGAGAAGCATTGCCTCAAGTAGATAAGGACTTGAGAAAGAAGCGGGGGGACATCTCGAAAAGGCGAGTTGAAAGGGCGAGCGTAGAAGCCTAAAAATAGAAAAATGTAAAGAGTGGCACGTAAAAATCTCACTCAACTGGGTGGCTTCCAGGAGTACGAGGTACCAGGAGTACTAGGTATTTCTAGTACTTTAGCTATCTTCCATGTAACTGCCCACAAGGCATTTCTTTCTACTATTCCATTCCTTTCTACAACAAGTGGGTACTGAAATGATGAGCGCGTGTGCCTTTCAGAGTTACACTGATTGTGTGGGGTGAGTGTCTCTTACCTGTGGAGATTGAAGCCGCTTTAGATACTAAGTGGGCTAGTTATCAGGCCATTATTCGTGCTGGCTTCTACAGCTGCTAAAATTTGAAGACGAGAAGTATGTGAAATGAGATTTTTCTGCATTTTACAGCAGGTAGTTGCCCAAAGGCCTTGTACTGCTGAAGAAAGGGGCTCCATTCGCTAGAGGCCGCTGCCATGGGGACTAAAAAGCCTTTGTTGCTACAACTTCACGTACGGTACATAACTGAGAAATTGTGCTACCAAAAGTTTATCGACACTACGCTAATATGCACACTAAGAGATCAACGTTTAATTTTTTTTCAAAAAAAGTGAGTGTAGCGGGAGTTTTCTCGACAATTTGGGTCGCCAAGGCATCATTATATTTTCGTTTGCAGCTTATGTGTTTAGTCTAGTCGTTCACACTTTGAATTCAGAGCACAGGGCTTACGTGGATTCAAGGTATACCGCAGCTTTGTTACTTACGAAGAATAGTACACTGGTGTTCAATATTGTTGGCCTTCTCGTGAAGAAAAAGTGCAGGAGAAAGAAAAGAAACTACGCCATAAGCACTGCCGAACTCGCCAGCTGGCGTGAAAGCATCAACTAGCTTTTTCCCTTCGTCTTAGGGGTAGCCAGTTTGCTCCTTTGAGCGTATTCATGTCACAATCAATTAAACAGAAGCAACGCTACTGTTGAACATGTTAAAGATGTAAAAAAGGGGGTGGCATAAGCAGGGCCAGTAAGCGTTGCGCTTCTGCTTGCTGCTCCAAATGCCACTTGTAGGATCACCTATCTCCTCGACAACCCTTTCCTCAGTGTAGGGATACTCTTTTGAATCTCGGCAGGCAGGAAAACCTCTTCCATATCGGCGCCAAAATTGTATTTTTTCTTCAGGTTCCTTTGATTTGACGCCGTCTTTGAAGGCAAGCGGAAAAGCTGTTGAAAAGCCTGGAGAGTAGAGTGGCGCCGTATGGTTTGCAGCGGGAGGCATATGCCACCAGTGCAAGAAGGCACCTTTAGAGGGGTGTGAGACTGCAAATCGCGTTCCACACAATCCTGTTTTCTGCAGCTCCCTAGAGTGCCTTGTTGTTCCTTTATATAATGCTCCTGAAACTGTCGTACGAGACCTTGCTGCCGCTCCAAAATGCCGTTGTTTAGTACAACCAGCTGCTGGCGTTTGTCTCTGACGTTGCATTTTGGTCTACTCGACTGAAGCGTCCGCGCAGTCATTCCTGAGCAAGCTTCTGCCATACCTACGTTGTTATCCCTGCGAATATCTTTGCTTTCAGAATCATGTCGCTGTGTTATTACGGCAGTATCAATGTTCTCGTTGTTGTGGACTAAAGGAGTGGCATCAGACCACGCTTGGTTCATTTTTGGTAAGGCCCCGCCTTTTGGTTGTGGCAGAACTTCACGCGCAGTTTGAGCAAACTGCGGGTCCCTCGCCTGATGCTGACCCACAGAAGAGCTAGCAGCGCTTTGTTGACGCCGTTGAGACTGACACGTTTGATGTTTCCCTCCATCAGTGTTGCTCAAATCATGGTCCTGTAGTCGATACTCCAAAAGCTGATGCTGACGCTGGTGCTCGTTGTTACGCTTCTGGGCCTGTTTCTCAACTGCATTTTGCGAGGCCTCCAGTAGAAGAAGCCGTATTGCCTCTTCCTTTTCGGCTTGTTGTATGGCTCGCACAGCTAAAAATGCCTGATCTTTATCTTTAACCACTTTGAATTGGACGCTTTTAGAGTTTGCATGGCAGTTTGCATGGCTGACACTTGCGCTCAGACCTTCATGTCTGATATTCGTAATGGAAGAGTTCCACTCGAAGGCATCGCTAGCAGATAAAGCTCGCGACCCCTCGGTGTCGCCTTTGTTTTTGAAACATCCTGGTTTATTTGCTGCGTTTGCGGGGACTCCTTTATCTGCGTTAGAAGAAGAATGCACTCTAGAAAATGTGGAGGAGTTGACATGGGGAACAGTGTCTCCGGGCTCAACAAATTCGTGAGCCTCTTTTTCTTTGTTTGTCCATAAGCCGCGAGTAACACGCACAAGCTGTAGCCCAGCAGCGTCTGCTGCCTCAGTTTCTTTTTGGATAGGTAAGCTGTTGGACACTTTTAATGCTACAGCCCAAGCAGGCCTCAAGAATGAGCCGTCATTCCTCTCATTATTTTCCTCATCTGCAACACGGTTAATGTGCCCGGTAAGATCTTGGCAAGGCAGTATAAGCTGAGGACTACCTTTCTGTTGGCTAGAGTTCCCCTCACTTTGTTCAGCGACTTGTAGGGACGACTTGAGAGTTCTAGTTGTTTCAGCTGCCGTACATTTCGGCGCCAAGCGCAGGCTTGTCCCTATGGCTCTTTGCGTAAAACTGTTTTCCAGCCTCTGCATCTGACAGTATGGTGAAGATGTTGTGCTTTCCGAAGCTGTTATTAATTGAGCATAATCCCTCTGCTCCTTTTGAGAAGGTGTTTGCCGCTGCTCTAACTGCATTTGTACTTGGTCCTTATATTGGTGGCAAACAGCAGCGATCGTTGATGTGCTGAAATTTTCTTGCTTGGACTGCTTATCGTTGTTTTCCTTCAAAGCTGTTTGTCTTTGTGGTTCATTCCGCATGGCTAAGCGGAGCGTTTGCTTCGAAGCGGCTTTTTTTCTCTCCGTCTCTTGGCGACGAGGTAAGGGCAACGAGGGCGCACTATGTCGGGCGTCGGAGGAGTAAGTGGAACTGTAGGAAGAGGGCTTTACTGTACGGAGATATTTGCTTTGATGCGGCAATTCTTTTAGTAAGGCCCGCTTATCCCATGAGTGGCAACGCAATGACTCACAAGTTGCGTGTTTTAGGTCAAATTGTTTGCATGAGTTCTTCTCTTTAAGCCTATTCTCAGGCGTTTCAACGGGAGTTAGAGCAGCGCAGTCGCCGGGCAGGCAAGAGCGAAGATGTGAGGAAGCCACTGTGCCAGTTGTCATTTTTGAAGGGACGTCTGAGCTCACACCAAACATCGACTCTAGAAAAGTTAACACTGCAGCAGGCTCAGCAAAAAGGACAATGAGAACTTCTCTAGGGGGAGAAAAACAAGCACATGCCAACATGTGAAATCCTTCAGCGTATGAAGGTGTGTACCAGCAGCCTCTACGTGCAACATATATATGAACTAACCTGCACTGTTTCCAGCTTCACTAGCTCCGGTCTCCCGTTGAAGAGATATTGATTCCGACATCACTAGGGCTGCAAGTAGCATATTCGCACTTCGGCTGTCTGTTCCAGTTGAGTCAGAGCCTTGGGATGCAAGCCTGTCTACGGCGTATCCTCTCTTAGCAATTATAGGGGGCCTAGCTGCTGCAGCCATGCCTCTTTCCTTCCAGAGCGAAGCAAGCCGTATTCGCTCTTTTCTAGCTAACAAGGCGGCGCGTTGCTCTCTCAGGCGCTGTAGCTGCTGCTCCTTAACCTCTTGTTGCCTCCGATGTAAACGGCGCTTATTTTGCTGACGTACTTCAATCATTCGCCTTTCGATGTCCCTTTGGCGTTCGGTCAGGGTCTTCTGCACAGCCAGAGGCCCGCAAAGTAGCGACGCTTTAGCGTCGTGCCGCTCCATCGAAAACTTTTCAGTCTGCGAAATCGACTGATTGGCTTTAACTGTGACACAACTAACACTACAGGACGGCGCAGTCGCTGAAGCCAGCTGAGGTCCGTTTTCTTCATCATGCCGCTTCTGAAAATTTCCCGTGCTACTTCGTAGCGAACTGCTAGTCGACTCGTAAGAGGAGTCAGAAAATCTGTGGTCTTTTTTCCTCGGTCTATTCGTTTCCCTCGAGGGTAAGTGCTGAGCTGTAGTTTGTTTTTCCGCTTCCAGAAAAAGCCCTGTTTGCCCCTGTGTCACAGTGCAGCTAGAAGTGCTATGCCGGCCTGTGCTGCAACCAGTGTTGCTTTCACTGGCATGCCAGTGTGGACACGAAAACCAGTCGCCTGCGTTTTCAAGGTGCACATCGACAGTGTCCTTTACACTAGGTTGCGAAGGCCCGTCCTGGGAATAAACATTTCCAGTCTCCAAGCAGCTGGAATCCACCGGAGTTGGTACAGAGCACTTGCTAGTAGTCATGTGAATATGCTGAAAAGAAATAGCCTTCTAGTAGCATGCGTGAAATGCTCAACCCATGAAAAAGTTGAACATGCTTGCTCTTCCGTCCTTCGTGCTGGCTGGGGAGAGCGACTCTATGAGTGGGTGCTATGCGTGACACTTCAACCTTAAGTGTTCTTAAGAAGATGCCTCGAAAATTAAGCTTAGATGTTGCTTTCCTTTACGGAAAGATGCACTGATACTCAGCTAAACGCAACAAAAGGCTTTTCGAAGGAGATTTGGCCGCCAACGCAACAATGTTCAACGAATATTATGGCCTCAGCGTCTCTTGATCCTGTATTTGCTGGTGAAGTTAACACAAGGAACAACACTGTATCAGAAAACGCCTTGCACTTCATGAGCTGAAGAGGAATTTACAATGCTCTGCTGGCCACGATATAATACGTGAGTTTGTTCTGGTTTCGTAGATAACAGCAGACAGCTCTGAAGGGAAAAAAATTACCGCGGAGAATTATGAAAAAAATTCCCGAAAAAAATTCCCCAAATTTCGAAATAAAGATGTGCTGGCGAAATTCATACTGGCAGTTTGAGCAAAGGCAACTTAGGCTGAGCTTCAGGGAACCTCGAGCCTGTCTGTAGATGCATACAGCAAGTGACGCGGTCATGATTGAGATGCATGCTCTCAATGTGATTGAATCTGAAACAAAAAGGACTAATTATGCATCCTTCTTAGATCATCAAGTACCTCAAGTATCTTCAGAGCACTCCACCTCTGAAGCGACTCAGCTTAGCTCTGGCCTGCGTTCAACGCCACTGCGCGTTGTGGAGCCTTTTCCGGAGAAGGCTAGTGGCGGGCGGTTGTTGCTGTTGATTTGCTTGGTATTAGGTTCTCTATTAACAAATGCTGTATTGCTGTGCTATGAGTCTGAAGTAGTGCCAAGATGCTTGTTTCGCATGGAACCTGGTGGTAATCCTGTTATTTCTTGTGTCAACACTTCTACAATGTCCCAATATAATGCCATGTGCTCGTTTAGACAACCTATAGGACCTTGTATTGCACAATTTCAGCTTTTAATTTGGTAGGACTTTAGAAGTGGCCTTTCCAGTCGAAATCGTGCTTGCTCTTCGTCATATTCCTCAATGAGTGTAGGTATGCGTGAGGAATGACTCTGAAGGTTTTAGCGTTGATAAACGTGTTGTACCCTTTTAACAAATAAGGATTAACCTGTACTGCATAAAAACCTCAACGTATCAGTGCAAAAGCTCACACACCTTCCCGTGCCACTGTTGCTTCGATCTTACTCTGCATAAACTTCCGACTTTCTGCTGTATCTGTCAGTCTGGTCAATCAGCTTGAGCACTTCTGAATCAGCAGGCAGTTGAGTCTTTAGGCTGCTCATTTTGTTTGTTTTTTGTTTTTCCTTGCCCTCAAATTCAGCATTCACTTTCCTGAACACTTTCTTTCGCTGGAGTGCCTTACATAGCATCGTGGCAGTGCACCTTTCCCCCCACCTTCTTCCACAGCACCATTAGCCAATTAATATGTACCAAGCGGGATGCCTGTAATAAAGCTGCAAGAACGGAATAGCTGAATGCGCAGGGCGCCCAAGAGAATAGCAGACGCAACATCGTAGTTACTATAAGAAAAACGTTTTGTGGCATTCTATGCAGGGTATGCTTTGCCTAATGCTGTAAATCGCCAGCTTGGCGCCCTTGAAAGCAAGCCAGATGCCATAAATCGGAATGTGTCAATACCTGACAATGTTCGCTTTTTCGAAAGTGCTTACCAGTTGGAGCCTCAGGTAAGTCAGTGAGCAATTAGTTTAGCCTTCATCGGCGCGCGGATAAAGTGTTCGAATCAACTTAATGGGTTGCGCGCTTTTAAATAGTTTCGGAATTTTAGAGTAGAGGAACTGTCAGCTTGCCTTCGCTGCGTGAGATCGTCTGTCTTTGCTTCACAGAATCTAACCAGTCGGCATGTGAGCGGAAATTTATGAATGGCTAAAGCTATGGCCCAATTTCAGGAGGAAAAACGAAACTGAAAAATATTATCTCAGTTACGAACTAAACGTAGAACAAGTCTGAAAAAAGTTTCTATTCCAGCGTATGACATGCGCAACTAACTCACTAGAGCTAGGTGTTGGAGCTCTAAGACTCGTGACCTTCTGCCTCACTACAACTCGCTGCCTCAGATGCTTCCTTGCGATTAAAGTGCTTTTTTGGCCAATATTCACAATCTATGAAACGGCAGCAAGAATCGTATCTTCACTTTCCTTCTGTACCTTACCTCACACAGCATTCAGGGCATCCTGTATTTGCTTAGCAAATGACTCAAAAACTTATGATGGCTACATTGACGAAGAGCACGAGCTGAAATTCTATTATTTTTTAATCGTTGAAGAATCTAATTTTCTGCGTAGTTGCAAGACACTTGCCGGCAGAGGGCGCAGTTGTGGGAAAAGGGTTCTAGCGAAGTGCTACTTTGCTGTTAGCACTAAATATTGGGTTTGCTTGTTTGCCTGGAAGGGTCGTATGTGCGTCAGAAAGAACAGCAAATGACAGATGCAAGAAAACACTTTTCCCACTTTAAGGAGCAGTTCGTGATACGAAGCGTTCCAATAGGTAGGGGAACTGCTCACATTCCAGCTCTGACACCTTATGAACTCGACGGCCGAGTCCCTCATGTTCGGCAGTAACTTCACTTCCGCTTATTCCTAAACAGGAGTGGAGGTACTGCTGACCCTGGGCAGAAATTATTTGGCCATTTAGATAAAGAAGATCTATGAAATGGGTAGAGCTCGCTGACGCAGCATGCGCACAGAAGGACTTACAAAAGAAATGCCTGTATCACGGGTGGACCTCGAGGCAACTGAGGCACAATCCAGCCCAGTGGTCTTGGAGCTACTAATTGTTCATGCGTAGGCACAGTGCCCGAATCAACAAACCTCTAGCATAAGAAAAGAAAGAAATGACGGAATACTTAAAAAGCAAGGAAAGAAAGCTTGTGTATAAGCAAGCTGTAACTTATGGCTGTCACAAAGCACTCCGACCAGACTCCGTAAAAGCATATTTATTTGCCTGAGCCATCATTCTTGTTTACAGCTTGCTTAGCAAGACCTGAGGGATAGGAACGTGCCTTTATACATTGTACAGGAAGGCTCGAAAGGGGAACAACGATTCATCCATATAGGCTGTCCTTGACGTCAGATGATACTCAAGATTCGCGTCACACAGTTGATACATTATAAACGGAAAAAAAGGCAACAAATAGTGTGTCTGACCAGACACAAACTAAGCAGTGCATGGGCCAGTTTCGTATCTAAATATCAATGAAATGAGTGAACGGCCTATGGGATGGTTGACATTTCTGATGTTTTCACGCGCACGCCACATGTAGTGTGCCACGTGCATGACCACCAGCCAAGGCGGTAATCGCGTATTCATAAAACATAAGAGCTTCTATATTTTTGTTTTCATCGCCCGCCGTGCGAGCTCATTGCAAGACCTTCGCAGTGCTGTGTTCTATCTGCAGAGCAGCCAGATCCATATCCTTCAAGCCTACTTGACGTCTCCAAAGTTTGCGAATTTTCAACAAAGTTCGGCAGTAAAAGTCCGTTATAATAAGAACAGGCTCCTCAAATCTTGGAAACGAACGATGGCAAGGTAGCATCAGCTGCTTATGAAATATGATGCATTTTAGGCTCATAGGGTCTACAGAAAGAGCAGCACAGGAGTTTAAATTAGTAGCACATATTTTAGTTTGTTGTTCCTATGCTTCACGTGGCGTAGTTCCCCATTGTGGTGGGCGTGTTTTGTCAGAACTGCCAAAGGTAAGGTGATTCCTCTCCAGTGCCTCACAAAATGACAGCACCGTACGTTCGGTCAGAGCCTTTCCACATACGTCCAAACAGATGATAAGGGTGAAAAAAAGCCTGTCTTAGTGATACAAATTACTGACGTGAAACGAAGGGTCAGTCCATGTCGTTTGGCTATTCTCATCAAGCCTCGCCACAG